AAAAAAAAAAACGGGAAAGTGAGCTACAAGTTTACAACCACCCTTTTCAAACTCGGGGCCTGATGTTACCGCCTTCTGATGTTATGACTGCCTTTTCGAACTACGGCCATTTTTTCGTTGCCCATTATTGTTTTTTTCGCCCTTTTGAACTTCGTTTGTGACACAAACGTAATTGCCCCAAAAAAAAAAAAAAAAAAAAGGAAGACAAACTTGCACACCACTGTGCATACGGCAGAAAGCCTATGGTCTTTTGAGACGGAAAAATGGTGTGCCTTGCGCTTTTGTGTAGGCTGTGTAAGATACGCACGTCAGCCAGCCGTGGGAGCCATAGGAGTCTCCAAAAATGGATAGAATCTCTCTTATCTTTGGGTGAGAGAGGTGGAGGTTTATCGACTCATTAGTTATCTCGCCAGATGAGAGTTTGCATATAGGTGTGTACAGGATAGGTGCCCGCAGTTGTGGCCATGCACACTGGGTAATAGTGTGCATACTAAGGGCCTCGCCACACCACTCTTGAAAACTCATTTTCAAGAGTTGCTGCATCGCCACACAGCCTCTTGACAATTGGGGCAGTCAAGAGCTGTCAGAGTGGCTCTTGAAACCGTTTCAAGAGCAGCTCTTGAAAGATCGGAACCCCCAGCCTACAACTCATGCGTTTCCAAGCTTCCTTGCCCGAACCCTTGAGGGACTTCCGATTTTCAAGAGTTGTCAGGCCGTTATCCTGACGCGATGCCCAAAAAAACAAAGCTGTATTACTGTCGTTTTTCATCGGCTGTCCAACACCATTGCCCTTTCGAGAGTGCTGTGTGGCCAGGGGCCGGAAACTCTTGAAGACCCAACTCTTGAGAACGTCTGACAGCTCTTGAGAATTTCCCCGTTTCAAGAGTGGTGTGGCCAGGCCCTAAGTGCCTGGTTGCGTCTGAGCACTTTCCATGTTCTGATTCTGTGAAAATGTTGGGGGATGGCGAGTGGTGCAACCATGCCCTACGCCTCAAGGAGAACAAGGACACGAAGAAGCGTTTGGTGCCATTCTGTCCGCCTAACGTTCGGCCGTTTTTCGCACGGCTAATGCGACAGGAGAATGAATGTTTTTTTTTTTTTTTTGAGGAGAAGAAAGAATGGTGTAGTGCAAAATGGAGTACAGGCCTCGCCACACCAGTCTTGAAACCGCGTTTTCAAGAGCTGGACGCGTCGCCACACAGCCACTTGAGAGTTGTAGCCCAAAAACTCTTTCGAGAGTTGTCAGAACCTCGTTTCAAGAGTAGGGGCTTCGCCGCACCACTGTCGAAAGGCACAAAAATTCGACGGCTGTCAGAACAAATTCAACAGCCTCCATTCGACAGTTTGCCCCCCTTTCGCCACACAGCACTGTACAGTGCGCGCACTTGTGAAAGCAAGATGGAAAAAGACGAACGCGCCCGAGGGTACGACAAGCATAAGTCCATCCCGACCTTACCCCCACTCACCAAATTTCGAAGGGAAGTCGATGGCACAGCCGAGGAGTGTCGAAAGCATCAGAGTAGCAGGCTGGGGATTGAACAACTTTCGACAGGAGGTGTCGAGAAGCGTTCGAGAGTGCTCTGTGGCGAGGGGCCCGAAACTCTTGAAAACCCAAGAGGCTCACCACAAAGGCTGTCGAAACTCAGGGCACACTCACACTTCGAGAGCCTGTGTGGCGAAGAGAAACTGTCGAAAATCGCATGTTCGACAGTGGTACGGAGAGGCCCTAGCACTCGAAACTCCGAAACGCCCAGCCTGCAGCACCGCTCTTTTCAAGCGTCCTCCCGAGGGCACTCGAAGGGCCCTTGATTTTCGAGAGGTGTCAGGCCGTTATCCTGACGCCATTCGGAAAAAACAAAGCTGTACGACTGTCGTTTTTCATAGTTTGTCCAACACCATCGCTCTTTCGAGAGTGCTGTATGGCGAGGGGCCCGAAACTCTTGAAAACCCACGAGGCTCACCACACAGGCTGTCGAAACTCAGGGCACACTCACATTGCGACCCCAAATCCGCAAAATATGCGGATTTGGGAAGGGCCTATTTGAGGTTTTGGGCATGGTTCACGTCACACTGCTGTACCTTTTCAGATGGGACAAGGGCGCGGCCGTCTGGAGAAATGGGGATTTGGTACTTGGCTGGTCACATGGCGCCATCCAGAAATTGTGCAGGAACTTTTGTGAACGAATTTTTGCCAATTTTCAAAGAAAATGCGAAAATGAAATAGGGCATTTGCGGTCACCTCCAGAGGTGACCGCAAAATCCCTTGCATCGCGGCTTCCCAGGCCGCTGACAAATGGGCACAGGGATAGTACATTTGCGGATTTGGTAGATGCGTGTGACCGGCGTTTTCCCCTTTTTTTTTGGGATTTTGGGAATATAGGTCCCCGTGTAAGTATGCCCTCAAAGAGTTTCGACAGGTGTCAGAAAAAATTCGAAAGTCGGTGGTGAACAGTTTACCCCCCCTTTGCCGCACAGGCTGTCGAGGGGCAAGGTTTTTGGTCATGGCCAGGCGGACGGGTTTCACGGAAGTTGACGGAACATTCGCTGACAACGCAATGTCGAACGCAATTTTCGAAGGTCGGCGGGCGACTGTCGAATTTCCGTCGACTGCAGGCTGGTGGAAATGATTGCTGGAGGGTGTCTGTCGAAAGTACCAATCTGACACCTGTCAAAAGTTTTTTGAGCCGCAATTCTTCAAGAGTCTGTGTGGCGATGCAAAATTGTCGAAAACCAGGTTTTCGACAGCCTGTGGCGAGCCTCCAACTCTTGAGAAGGTCTGACAGCTCTTGAAAAATTTCCCCATTTCAAGAATGGTGTGGCGAGGCCCTACGAGGCTCGCCACACAGGCTGTCGAAAACCTGGTTTTCGACAATTTTGCATCGCCACACAGACTTTCGAAGAATTGCGGCTCAAAAAACTTTCAACAGGTGTCAGATTGGTACTTTCGACCTATGTATCCCCAGCGGCCGCGGTCACCGCGGCCCGCGGTTGAGGCCGCGGGGGCGCGATCATGACCGGCCGCGGCCGCGGCCAAAATCGGCTCACTGTGACCAAGGGGAGGGGGGTACTGACAATCGGGGTCAGGATTCCCGCCGCGCGACCAGGGCCCCGCCCCCCCCCCATTGAAAAAAAAGAAAAAAAATTCAAAATGGGGGGGTCCATTTTAGGGGGGGGGGGAGAAATAATGGACCTCTTTTACTTTTTTTGTTACTTTAGTTTT